GGATGGATACCTACATATGTGGGGAACACTATAGCATTAGGAATATATCTTGGTATTCCTAGCACTTATGTGTTCCTTTATGCATTGCTATAAAGTTTGCCTGTTACATTTATTGTTATCTTCCTGCTAGCTTGAGCCACGCTGGCCTTTCTTCTTTGGCCACAACTTGGCATTTTCACTAACAGAGCTACTGCTCCCTGGATGTTTTTTCACCATTTTATAGAAACTAGAGACTGCTCTAAGTATAAATTCTGATGAACCCTTGGTTTGTATCAAACCACTTGGAAACTGTTTGACCAGAACCAGGGTTAAGTGCTCAGAGTAACCCTTTAACATAACATAGATTTTGAAGACGGTTAAATCACTTTAACCTTGAGTGACAGTAGCATTCTCAATGCAATGTCAGATTTATGCCTAGACAAAATCACATATTTTACCTTTATTGGGTTAAGGATTTGAAGCACTTGAATGCAATTGCTTTGTCTGCGTGCAGTCAGACTCATAAGGAAATATATTGTATTTCAATAAATTGTGAGTATGCTGTAGGCTCTTTGAACAAAAAAATTAATATTATATATGTATATATATATATATATATATATATACAGATATATACACACACACATTTATAAATATACCATATAAATTATGACAATAAACTAGTTTGATTCAACATTATATCTCTAAAGAAACAATAATTTTAATAGAATTTAAAATTTTATGCAAGATTAACAGGTGATATGTTTTTTGTGGAGGGTGGTTGTTTTCTTTGCGGTTTGCTTTTTAAAAAAAAAAAAAAAGTTGTTTTATCCTCTTTTAGGGGCTACTCAAATTTAGTCTCTACTGTTTTAGAATAACAAGCTTTCTGGAAATAATTGGATTTTTATTTTTTAATATTCTTCGCAAACAAAAGGACAAACAAGAACGAGCACACAAGGTAAAATGCGGAGATGGGAACGAAGGAGGAGTTAATTATTATGTGAGCAATGCAATGTCAAGAAAACAATGTTTTGTAAAAGTGTATAATGAACTCTTTGTTCCTGCTCTTCAAATCTCAAGTGGGACAATTGACCTAAGCTGACTATTAGGGCTGATACAGCTCTGGTTGAATGAGTTCTATCTTGGCTCTCTGGTGACAGCACTGCCAAAAAATAACAAGGACTAAAATGTGCACGAACAGCCATTTCAACACATGTCCTCTTCAGCTGACTTAAATATGAATTGCAGTAAACAACAGGATGGACATCCTAAGTGAATTTCTGCACTTCACTCAACAGTGAAGCCTTCTGGGTTTGTATTTTCTTTTTTGAATTGTTTATAAGAGGGGAATGACATTATGGAAACATCAAGAGGGGGGAAAAAGGCAAAATTCTGCAAATGCCTTCATTGTAAAGTACATTAACAAATATGCACAGAACAATTTGCATTTAATGTACCACAGCTTTACATTTTATATATTTGCTTTGTTTAATGAGCAGATCTATTTGTGGAATTAGATCTATTTGTGGAATTTATTTTAACTCTATAAACACATAGCAGTCGTTTCCCCACAAAGAAATAGTAAAATACTAATAATATAAATATACTATTAATGCATCAGAAACCAGCCATGGACTATACAGTACTGACCTTTTCATCAGAACCTGATAAAAAAAAATATTATAATAATTTTTTATAAAAACTGAAATGTTGATCTAAGAAAAGTTTTAAAAGAGTTTTTCTTTTTTTAACAAGACCTTAGCTATCCCCTTTTTTCTGTTTTTATACAATTTGGCTGGATTAAGCGCCAGGCATTACTAAATATTACACCAGAGTGCAGGTTTCTACTATGTGTGTGTAGAACATACAAGACCCAGCGTATTCACAAAAATAATCGGGGTTTAGTAACAGTATGCAGATTACATTGTGATACCTGCTGGGCAGCTGGCAAAGCCCAGTATTGGCAACAATCAGCATGGGGCCATGCTGTTAGACCCTGTCAGGGTCTGTTCACACCCTGAGTATCTAGATTGAATACCTTCCAGCTCAGAATCATCACAGCTGAGAGCTGAACAAACCCTGATAGGGTCTAACAGAATGGTCCCATGCTGATTGTTGCCGGTACTGGGCTTTGACAAGCAAAAATGTAAACAGAAAAATAGTTTTCCTCCCATTTTTTTCCCATTTCAACATTTAATCCACATTTGTTGTGTTAGGTATACATTTGTGCAATAATAACAGAAAGCCCTTTTTGTCCTTCAACCCCTTAAGGACGGCGGGCGTTCTATGACATCCTTAAGGAGCTGAACTTTAATGCCGGCGGTCGACATCGAACGTCCCCGCCATCCACCCCACTTACTCGATCCTCAACGTTCCCCCGCCGGTGATTGGTGTTCCTCCTGGTCTGGGGGGCCTGTCTGACAGCCCAGACAGTTCCCTCTAGGCAAATTAGGCCCCCGTGGGCCATGTGATCCCTCTGAAAGAGCGGTCACATGGCGATAATAGGTGTCCATAGTGCTACCTGCAGGGAGACTGCCTAAAGTGACAGACAGTCTCCCTGCTTCTGTAAAATAAAATAAAAAGATGTTAATAAAGAAAAAAAATATAGATATATATATGCATATATATATATATATATATATATATATACGTAAACATGAAATAGCTTGCACTCACGGACTTGAAGTTTAGAAAAAATCGCTTTATTCAAAGCATATCATATAATCATCACACCGACGTTTCAGCCCTCGTCCGGGGCTTTCCTCAAGGTGAATTGACAATAAAACATTAAATCACAGTGTTTAAATATATACCCATAAAAAGAGAAGTTAACTCACCACAGGTGATAACATGCAGTATACCGGCGTCTCTACTGACCTAGTGCGCATGCGCTAACATGCACAACCCGGAAGTGATGAAAACGTGCGTGACCCGGTTACCATAGTAACATACCTACGCCACAAACTGCCAAAATAGAAGTTGAAACAAAGTGTAAACACCAAGTGCTATCAAGGAAACTATTGATACAACTGTATCATTTAGACAGAGTAAATACACACGCTTGTGGACCAAACAGTATTGCAAGATCACTAGATTAAAGCAAATATATTCAATTACAAGGTACAAAATTACCAAATGCTATTCAGCATTTCATATATGTACACAAACCGTTAAATAAGCCTAAATTTAAGCAATATAACAAGTATTCCTTTGAATCAAATTCATCATGCAACACCTTAGTCACAAATCATTATTTACTACCTACTATAACATAGGTGCATAGTTAGCACCTCAATATACATCTTATGCAATAGCAGACAGTCCAGAAACGTGTGAACCACTATTCAAATAAAAATGCAATACCAAACACTTTGTTAAGACGAATTCAAATAAATGCAAGTTGAAGTTATATGAAAGGATGATAAGATAACTCATTCAATCCATTTGGCGACACAGTATTCAGTTCATAAATCCAATATGATTCTTTCTGCAGCAATAATCTACTATGATCTCCTCCCCTGAGAGGTTGTGGTATATGATCAATGGTGATAAATTTAAGGGTAGCCAAAGAATGTCCCTTCTCCAAAAAATGCTTAGCAACCGGTTTATCAGAGTGGCCATCTCTGTAGGCTATCCTAATATTGGACCGATGTCCCCTTATGCGTTCACAAAGAGGTGTGTCCGTTTTACCAATATAGGTTAAACCGCAAGGGCACGAAATTTTATAAATCACAAAAGGGGTTTTACATTTAATTGTGTGCCTTATATTGTAGCGTTTGTTATTATGTGGATGATTAAATGTGCGTGACGGGACCATATGGCCACACGTCACACATCCCAAACACCTAACGCAGCCCCTAATTTGTGCTTTTTGCTCCTGTTGATAACTCTGTACTGGATCAGTATTTACAAGTAAATCACGTATATTTTTGTTCCTGTGGTAGCAAATCATAGGCGGTTCTTTAATAATCGGAGGTAAAGTGGTATCCAAAGACAACATATTCCAATTCTTCCTCACAATGGTAGTGACTTGATTGGCTCTATTATGATATGTAATTGGAAAAACAAGCCTTGGTGGTGTCGTAGAAGTGTTTGGTATTGCATTTCTATTTGAATAGTGGTTCACACGTTTCTGGACTGTCTGCTATTGCATAAGATGTATATTGAGGGGCTAACTATGCACCTATGTTATAGTAGGTAGTAAATAATGATTTGTGACTAAGGTGTTGCATGATGAATTTGATTCAAAGGAATACTTGTTATATTGCTTAAATTTAGGCTTATTTAACGGTTTGTGTACATATACAGTTTCCTTTATAGCACTTGGTGTTTACTCTGTCTAAATGATACAGTTGTATCAATAGTTTCCTTGATAGCACTTGGTGTTTACACTTTGTTTCAACTTCTATTTTGGCAGTTTGTGGCGTAGGTATGTTACTATGGTAACCGGGTCACGCACGTTTTCATCACTTCCGGGTTGTGCATGTTAGCGCATGTGCACTAGGTCAGTAGAGACGCCGGTATACTGCATGTTATCACCTGTGGTGAGTTAACTTCTCTTTTTATGGGTATATATTTAAACACTGTGATTTAATGTTTTATTGTCAATTCACCTTGAGGAAAGCCCCGGACGAGGGCTGAAACGTCGGTGTGATGATTATATGATATGCTTTGAATAAAGCGATTTTTTCTAAACTTCAAGTCCTTGAGTGCAAGCTATTTCATGTTTACGTATGTTATTTGGCTTTGGCTTTAAGCACCCGGTCCTTAAAACTGTTTATCAAGCCTGAGTGCAAGGATCTCAGTCTTTATATATATATATATATATATACATATTATATATTTATATATAATATGTATATATATATATATATATATATATGTATCTTATATATGTAATGTCATACTAAGTGTATTTATATTAATATAAAAATACACTTAGAATTAAATTATACACATATTTATATATATATATATATATATATTTTATATATATATATATATATATATAATAACTATATATAAAGCAACAAATGTAGCTGCACTCACGGTCTGTAGGTTGTTTTTTTTTTAACTCTTTATTTTCTTGGTGCGTAATTTTCAATAAAGCAATGGTTGACAGATTATGCAGACATTAGTGTAGGGTGTTTTTTTTTTTTGATCCTGAGGAAAGTCCACGAGGGGGACTGAAACGTCGATCCTAATTTTAATATGAATTAATAAAGAATTGAAGATTTTATCTACAGACCGTGAGTGCAGCTACATTTGTTGCTTTCTGGATATATTTGAGCCCTGGCTGGCAAACAAAAAAACACACATTTCCACAAAACACAGAAAGTACCCCAACGCCACAAATGTCATATCCCCTGATAGCCCTGATCTGGGGGACCAACACCCTAAAACTTGTACATGAGGGGTACTGTTTTACTCAGGAGACTTTGCTGAACACAAATATTAGTGTTTCAAAACAGTAAAACGTATCACTGCGATGATATATTCAGTGAAAGTGATTTTTTTTGCTTTTTTTTTACATACAAACGGCACTTTCATTGGCGATATCATTGTTGTGATAAGTTTTTCTGTTTTGAAACCTTCATATCTGTGTTCAGCGAAGTCTCCCGAGTGTAACAGTACCCAGGGACGTATTAGCCGCGAGGCAAACAAGGCATTTGCCTTGGGCGGCATCTTTCAGGGGGAGGCAAGAAACGCCGCCCCCAAATGCCCAGGGCAAATGCCTAGTTAGCCTCGCGGCTAACAGTCATGCTGGGCTGGGCGGGCGGCTGGCGAGGGAGCTTTTCCTCTGAGCAGTCTGCTCAGCTCCCTTGCGCGTCGCAGAGTGAGGCTGGGAGCAGGAATATGATGTCATCAACCCGGCTCCCAGCCTCACTCTGCGGCTCGCGAGGGAGCTGAGCAGACCGCTCAGAGGAAGAGCTCCCTCGCCAGCCAACTGCACAGCAGCCAGCGCTGTCCAGCCCGACCGGCAGCCACTGGACCACCAGGAAGAAAGAGAGACTCCCCCAAGCACTCCCAAAGGTAAGGAGGTTGGGGGGGGTTAAATTAAAAAAAAAGTGAGTGATTGTGTTTGTGTCTGACTGTGTGTGTGTTTGTGTCTGACTGTGTGTGTGTGTGTATTTGTGTCTGACTGTGTGTGTGTATCTGACTGTGTGTTTGTGTGTGTCTGACTATGTATGTGTGTTTGTGTCTGACTGTGTGTGTTTGTGTCTGACTGTGTGTGTGTGTGTGTGTGTGTCTGACTGTGTGTGTGTTTGTGTGTGTGTGTGTGTGTGTGTGTGTGTGTGTGTGTGTGTGTGTGTGTGTGTGTGTGTGTGTGTGTGTGTGTGTGTGTGTGTGTGTGTGTGTGTGTGTGTGTTTGTGTCTGACTGTGTCTGTGTATGTGTCTGACTGTGTGTGTGTGTGTGTTTGTGTCTGACTGTGTGTTTGTGTCTGACTGTGTGTGTTTGTGTCTGACTTTGTGTGTGTGTGTGTTTGTGTCTGACTGTGTGCGTGTGTATTTAGAAGGTAGGGCGGGGGGAAGGGTTGTGTGTATTTAGAAGGTAGGGCAGCACAAAACCAGGATACACCACTGACAGTACCCACCATGTACTGGTTTTATAGTGTTTTTGAAAGGTACAGGGTCAATTATAAGGCTTGCCCATTTTATTTTTTTCATTGAAATTTGCCAAATTGGTTATGTTGCCTTTGAGACCGTATGGCAGCCGAGGAATAAGAATTACCTCCATGATGGTGTACCATTTGCAAAAGTAGACAACTCAAGGTATTGCAAATGGGGTATGTCCAGTCTTTTTTAAGTAGCCACATAGTCACAAACACTGGCCAATGTTAGCGTGCATATTAGTTTTTTGCATTTTTCACACACAAACAAATATAAACGCTAACTTTTGCCAGTATTTGTGACTAAGTGACTACTAAAAAAGACTGGACATACCCCATATTGAATACCATGGGTAGTCTACCTTTGCAAATTGTATGCTATCATGGGGGTAATTCTAATTTCTTGGCTACGATACAGTGTCAAATGCAACATAACCAGTCTGGCAAATGTCATTGTGTATAAACTGCAAAATGAACCATGCTATATTTGACCCTGTAACTTTCCAAAACACCATAAAACCTGTACATGGGGGGTACTGTTGTACTCGTGAGACATCACTGAATATAAATATTCTATTTTTCGTTTACGTTTTGTTTTGATCACAATTTGTACAATTGGCTCCGTCCTTAAAGGTTAAAAAAATAAAACAATATATAACATGTATAGAGGCACCTAAAGTGAAACCCTTACATTACAGTTGAACAAATACATTATGCAAATTCTAGGTTTTATTTTGGTTCAGAACTTGGACAATTCCCTACATTAAGACTATAAATCAGCAAAACATAATGTCCAAGACTCAACTATGTGAAATAAATGGTAAAAGATAGGTGGTCTCAGGACAACAAAACATTCAAATGAACATTGCAAGATATGTCCTCCATAAAAACTAACAGAAAAGTACACAAATGCAAAAACAATCTTAAATCATAGTGACCATACTCAAAACGTAGTCAGGCAATACAAATTGAGTTGCCATGTATGTTAGGAGGAGTAGTTACGGACGATAGTGTTTCTTCAAACATGTCTTCCTGTGGACTTGGTCATAAGGACAATATTTATAAAATGTTTAAACCAAGGTCTGTTCCAACTGAAAATTATGATATTGATATGAATGCTTTGACATTGTCACTCATTAAACATTTTTTTGCATTGTGGCATTTACTTTTTTATAATTTTTTTGAAAGTTCTTGCAATGGTAGTTATTTACTGGTAGAGTTGACCAGTAGATAACTAAGAAATTATGTTTATGTTCTCCAAGCAATTTTCAATTTGGTATAAAAATATGTTTTGAAATTTTAATTTCAGTATCTTTATAACATGGCATATTTACCACACGTAAATTAGATCAATATTTAAAAAAATAAAAATAGAAGTTATGTGTACAGAATTGAATCATAGTGGTGCATTGTAAAATATAAATCAGTGCCTCTAGCGTTGATTCATATCAGTCATTAAATGTTACATTAATAAGAAGTGAAAATCCCTTCACTCTAATAAAATTTGTTGTACAATGGTAATATCATACTAGAGATTGATTGCTATTAATTAGAGACAGAGAAAAGGAAGACAGAAGGGAAGGGAGTTCAAGCTATTATTCAATTTGATCTGAAGCAACAGTGGCCTTGCAATGTTGATGTATATTTTACAATAAAGTAATACAAGAGCAAAATTGCCCCACAATAGCATATTTAAACGTTAATGTGAATTATAAAACCTACACAGGTGAGCAATCACAGAAAAATAATCAAAGGGAAAACATTCTGCTTCTCAAACCTTAACGATTGTGGCAAAGAATGTCTAGTGTCCTGAAGCATATAGATATTGACATATAACTATATAGAAAGGAAAATATATATTTTTTGTTCTTATGTTGAGCCATAAACAATTAAATATTTTTTTATTTAATGGAAAAATCAATAAAATCTTTATATTCATACATATATATGTGATAGTAGCACACAGCAATTATGGTTTTTTTTTTTGTTTGTTTTTAGTTTTATAGGTGGCTACACCTCAATAAATTAGCGCTGAAGCTCGTTGTATTAATAACACATTGGCACTTCAATTTACAGGTCTCCAGTATCTGGGATGCCTGAAATAATTTTGGGCACCTGTCCCACTGTTCAGAAGATTGACAGTAGAGACAAGCTGATATAAAATGCTGTCCTGCAGTCAAGACTAATGAGGAATTAAGAGTTACCATTTATTGGTCCAATACATAACTCTGGATTTGATGAATGCTGTGATGAATCCTATCTGATGATGTCAAAATTATCTAAACTGCTTTGTATGGTTTGGATTGTAGCCCATGGAGCAGCGCAGCCTAAGTGGAATGGGACTTGACATGGCTCAGAGACAGGCATAGGAGGTGTTAATGTTGGGGGTTTGGCTATAGAAAGTGGGGGTGGGGTTTTTAGATTGTGGGAGTATATATAGCAGCCATTTTAGATCAAGGGCCATCCTAATTAATCCACACTTACCTGTTTTGTCCCATTCTCCCGCCCTTTAAGTAGGTTCTGGATCCCGTTTGGTCACGACAGCGGGGGATGGATAAACAAGTTGGGGTGTGGGTTGTTTGTCCAGATGTAACATAGTTTAGTTCACTAAGAACGGTTAGGTTTGGTTAGTTTTTGGTTCGTTCAAGCTCGTCGGTAGCTCCAAACCTGGTGTTTGTAAGGTGATTCTTGGTATACCCCTACATGGTGGAACATGGTAAATCATGCCCTTGATGGCAATGGTTTAAGTGGTTAGATGTTATTTATGTTAATATATGTTAATATTTTTTGTTAATGGGGGTCATTGTCTGGGTCGAATTGATAAAATAGTTGGGGCTGAGATGTCATGTAAAATATGTTGACAATGACCTTTAATAATTTATATATATTTTATTTAGCAGAGCATTCTAGATGATTCTATTCATCCACATTTGTGGTGATGGTGTAGGTAGACCCATATGTCTCTCACCATGACAAACATTTTGAACCGTACAAAAATTATTTGTAAGGAGGAACTTGTATGGGCTGTTGAGCACACTTCTTGGATGCACTGAATTACTGACCATGAACCAGGCTTTATTACCCATCATCAGGCCTTCTTAATGATCTTGTTGCTGAAAGAATGTTCACACAGGCATGACCCAGCAACTAGTGAAGTCCTTTTCCAGAAAATTGAAGGCTGCTACAACAATAAAAGGATGACCAACTATATTTTAATGTTTCAGAATATCCAGCAAGCATGTGACTGCTTACTTTTGGTTATAAAGTGTAGTTTACTATAGTTTTGCTGTTTTGTGGAAACTTGAAAATGTAAGCAAAATATCAATTTCAGCATTTAAGCTGTGCCTGCTGTTATACTGTTTAATATGTTTAATAATTTTTTTTTTAAAATATATCAAACAGTTTAGTTGTGTTTTTCACTGTAATATTATTTGTAAAGTAGAGACTTTAGTACTCAAGGGCCGGCCAAAGACATTGTGCTGCCTGGAGCAAGGATGAAATGTTGCCCGCCAACCCCCCACTCCCGTCCCCCCCCCAGTCAGCGCTCCGCCTTTCCGATGTCATCTGACAGGGACATAATGGGTAAGTGTGACAGCGTGAGAGGTGGTAAGGGACTATGGGAGGGTGTTGTTGGTGTTACAGGGTTAGTGTGACAGGTTAGAGT